GGGGGGGGGGGGGGGGGGGGGGGGGGGGGGGGGGGGGGGGGGGGGGGGGGGGGGGGGCGTACTCAAATGTTGCATGCCTTAGCTCCTTAGCTGTTCGACCATTGACCTCGTTTCATTCCTGCGATGCCGGGACGGAGCGATTTGCCGGGTTTTCGCCGTCCCAGGCTGCGTTTCATAAAGAAAGACAACCAGGAGATGGTCATCATCCTTCCATGCAGTGTGCCGAACAAGATACGCAAGGGTGCGTACTCTCATGTTTTGCATGCCGTAGCTGCTAGACCATTCACCGCACGTCCTCGACAGGCCGGAGCAACACACGGCAATTCAGATATTGAGGGGGGCGGGCAGCTTCGCCAATCAGCGGGGAGGGCGAACTGTGAGCGTCATGAGCATGCAACTGCCCAGATGAACTGGTAAAAGTATAATCGTTGTACGTAGCACCGCGAAAGAGTGGTTACCGTTCCCAAGACAACATGTTTTAAGGCTTCGAAACATGTTCATACCATAGCTCGCATGCCTTCCAGGGCGAGCGACAGAAATTACCAACACAATACATCATCCTCGCGACCAAACTATATACATGTGTATATCCTAGCGACAAAAACAACTCAATCAACATATTGCTAGAGAACAGGACATCAAACAATCAAATCGCTTCGCGAAACTCCGTACAACATGTGACAATATGTGGCAGGGATACATAGGATATCAGCACAGCATGGAGTCACATGCAACCCTTCACCCGACCGAACTCTCTTGCGATGAGGGGGGGGGGAGGGTGGCGAGCGAGGCGGTACTGAACAGCAGCAACAACAACGGGACACTGCATGCCATAATGCCCGTTTGCCTCACATTTTGCCACGGTCGTGAACAGACAACCCCCAGCGAGATCAAAAATAAACGGATGCCTCATCCGGCGAAATGCGCTTGTACTCGTTCCCAAATACCCTTCCATTCGCCGCCCATCATCACCAACCCGTTCATCAACTCACTCTGTGATGGCGGAGTACAGCTGTCGCGACGCCACTCTCAGGTCCGATGACGCTCCTCCGCTGATGGTGCCGCACAGCACCTCCTCCGCCGCCCGTCCCGCCAGGGTCATGCATACGCTGTCCAGGACCATCTCCCGCATCTCGCTCAGCCTTTCCACCACTGCGGTCTGCGAAAACCCTGCGCGCACAAGAACACACACACAAGCGGTTCATACAGCGAAAAATACCGTTGTGTTTCGAAAAAAAAAAACATGAAAAAAAAAAACATACACACACACACATAATTTAGCCTCCCCGATGCTGCCCCCTCACGGGATCCCGGTTCATGGCAGATACTAGGAGTAGAAGTGTTTTGGGTTTTCAACCGCACTAAGACTGAAGTATTTTCATTGGTCAGCCGGTTAGCACGGTTGATGATAACAATAAAGACACACACACACACACACACACACACCGCACAAAGATTGACGCATTTTCATCGGTCAGCCGTTTAGCGCGGTCGATGCCAATTAAAAAGACACACAAAACACACAAGCGGGTCCATCCAGAGCAGTAGCAATGCATAACCTTACAGCTTTCGTTTAGACCCCATCTCCCTTGTCTCGCTCTGCCTCTCGAACACAGCAGCCTGCAAAGCCCCTGCACAGCAATGAAAAATTGTTCTCGAAAAATATACTCCAAAAGCAGGCACGCACTCACCTAAAGCGTTCCCTCGCCAGACAATGGAGACCTTGACGACCTCATCGCACCACGGAAGCATCCAGCCAGCAACGGCGTGACCGGCCTCGTGGATAGCCGTTCGCTTTTTTTCTTCCTCCGTCACTTCCTGAGAGAGCCAAGGGAGCGACCAAGGTGCAAAAAATGCGCGCATGTACGCGAAGTGAAGCAAGGGAACAGAAAAAAGGTGAAAAATGTATGCGGAATGATGTCTTCCTTGTCGGAACTTCCTGAGGAGGACCAAGGGAAAAATAAGGTACAACACGTAACCGTACTCGTGTACCGTAGGTTGTATGACGTAAGATACCACACCTCCTGCACCGATTCTCAAACCTCGATTACTCCACCAAGAGGATGCCGGCCAGAGGCAAACGATACGTGTTCGGAAAACTCTCGACTGGACGGTTCCCGTCGCTGGTTTCCCTACCGAGTCATCAAGCTTTGAACTTTCGGTCCAGGGGGTGTGATATCTTACGTGCAACCTACGGTATGTGGCGCTTCCGTTCGGGATTTCATGAGGACCAAGGGGCAACAAAGGTTTGAAACTTGCAAGTGCCGTTGTATCTTTTCTGTTACGAACTTCGTGGCAAAAACTCAAGAAAAAATATCAAAAATACCAATGATTGCCTTCATTTCGGCACAACGCTTCGACACGGACCTTCCTGAGAGCCAAAAAAAAATGAGACACAAAGGTCATGCGTGTGTATGCCTATTTATATTTGAGACTTTTCAACCAAATAAATAAATAAACATAAAAATACAAGTGTAACCTTCCGGTGTACCCTCCAACTGGCACGTCAACAAATACACAGTTGAACGGTGTGTTGACTGGCTAAGGAATACAGGGAACACACACAAAAAAACAATACGTACGTACGTCAAAATCTTCAGGAGAGGAGAAAAAACCACATACACGGCGCATGGCCGGACGCAGGCACAAGGAAAACACACCAAGAACTCCACCTTCTTGTACACCACCCAAGATGCACAAAAACAAAGCAGATAAACCAACATCCAATCCAGTCCAAACCAAGCCAACCCTCGTCGCTATCGAAGCCAAGATCCAGTCAAGTCTAAACCAAGCCAACACTCATCGCTACCGTCACCAAAATCGAAAAAAAAGTCCACACCAGGCTAACCCTCATCTCGCTATCGTCCCCATCCGGTCCAAACCAAGTAAACACTCGACTCTCTATCGTACAGCTCAGTCCAAAACCCAGCCAGCAGTCAGTCTCGCTATCATCGTGCCCATCATCCTCACTCACCCTGTCAGGCTTCTCCAGGCCATGCTGGACCCGGTCTACAGCGGCGCTCAAGTGCTCCAATTCGACCGCGTCCGACCCGCTCCTCGCAGCGATCCTCCCGGCAGTCGCGCAAACGTTCGCCACGTCAGCCCCGGTCATGTAGGGGGTCATCTGATTAGCACACAACGGCGGAAACATTCGTTGCTTGCGTAATAATCGTCGCAAAGGTGTGCCCTCTTGTGACCACAGCGGGCCGTCTGCGTCAGTCGGATCGGTACGGATATTAGAGGGTGTGCTTCGCGGAGACCGGAACGGTGTTTGGTGTGAAGACAACGACCACCACAACGACGACAACACGATGACGACAACGACGACAAAAAACCTGGAGTGTGTCATCCGTGGAGATCAGATCAGCACATAACATCAGCGTAAAACATTTGCTGCTTCATTTTTTTTATGGCGCCTGTCACAAAGGGGGTCATCTGTTGCGAATAGATCAACACAGAAAGGAGATGCTCAGCTCGCCACCCGCGCATGGCATGATGCACGTTTTCGGCTCGCGGTGGGTATTGTTCGGCAGCACACATTTGCTTTACTGAGGCCTGTTTCTTAAAAAATCAGCGGACAGGTTGTTACTTGATTCTTTTGTGATTGTCATTGTGGTAAATTTCGGTCAATCATGCGAAGGCGTGGAACGCAAGTTTGGAACAAAAACACGTGCTTGTGACTTGTTATTCAAGTCTGAATACTTGATCGTACTTGCTGTTCGCCGCGTCCGCTGCCATGGCGGGAAGAGTCCGGTCATGTGATATGATGCGACAGCACGAAGTATAGCCGACAGCAACAACAATAGCTGCTGGGGAATAGTAGAAACACAGGTAGCTCCGCTGACGCTATGAACCCAAGATAAACTTATCCTTCACAGTAGACTCATTTCCATGGATAGAAAAGGATGCCCTGTGTTAAAAGGAGAAACAAAAAGGAAAGAAAAAATCTCACATCCGCCAGCTCTTTCGCGATGTCATCCTGAAGGCCTTGCTTCTTGATGGCCGCCTGCTTCTCCCTCTCGGCCGCCGCCGCCGCCGCCGCGCCCCCGCCGAAATAACGTCTCCCCTTTCCACCACGAAAGACCCCGTTGCTGCTGGTGCTGCTGTCGGGTGATGCCTCCACCCCTCCTTCGCGTTGTTCATCAGAGAGCTGCCAACAGCAAAAAGAGTTTGTACGGTCGTCCCTCAGCTAAGGACACCAATGTTAAGGACACAACCACCTCCCCCGGATGACGAAGCCTCTACTTTCACAGTCGTGCTTGTTCGTATCTAGGTTGATTCGAAAGCTCTTGGAAGCGGCTTTCATTCAATAGAAGCACGTTCTGTGAATCAACAGGGTGCAGGAGATAAAAACTCAAGTTGTGTGCACAGGGAGCAGCACCACTGTAGAAAGGGGTGTTTCCCTTTTGGGGGAGTAGTTGCCTTGTGACCACGGAAGGCGTCTGCGTTCGTTGGACCAGTACGGATAGTAGAATGTACTAAGCGGAGACCAAAAGGAATTACTTAAACGAGCGAAGGCAACAAACAATGGTGCCTCGCAGGATGATTAACGAGGGGTATCGATGAAAAGGGCACTTTCCCGGCCTAAGGATACCTGTTGTTGTTTTCGAAAAACCATGTGTGTCCCTAACCGAGGGACGACTGTAGTTGCTGGAAATTAAGAACTGCTAGTAGACAAACCAGAAGACCGACAGCGCTTCGAGCGATGGCCAAATAGCGGGAAAAGCCTACAGGGTTTTTACAAGCTGCGAAGGCTTTTTTTGTTGTTTGGAACACTGGCGCCCCGCAAAATACATAGGCCCGACAACAACGACCATGACAGCAACATTTCATCGTTCTGCAACAGCTTGCCTAGGGTTGTACAAGCTGCGAACGCGCTGCTGTTGTGGTTTGGAATATTGGCGCCCCGTGAAACATTTGGACCCGACAACGACGACGACCACGAACGATCCCAAGCACATCAACCGTTGTGCAGCAGCATGCTACTTCTGACCTTGAGGGGGGCGAGGTACTTGGTAAACAGCTGCTCGCGGCCCTTACGGTCTGGCCGGTCCACATCCACCTTGCACAAGGACACGGCAGCAGCAGCAGCGGCAGCAGCAGCAGCAGCAGCAGCAGCAGCAGCAGCAGCAACATCGTCAACAGGCGAGATACAAAGACAGACGATGCCTTGCGTTGCCAATGCCAAGGGGGCGATAGCAAAACCAACAACAGGCGGGCTTAAACAGTGTGCATGCGTTGTCCCGACGCAGCAGAAGTTGGGATCGGGCGATGTGCGCCGTGTACGACAACAAAGCTTGAGGAAGCTGCCGCATGCAATGGGCGGGCAGGCGCGCGCGTGGACGTCTGTGGGCACTCAATCGACACGTTTCAAGTTCAAGCTTAAGCATACACGATCCTATTTCGTGACCTAGCCGCCATTCGCAGAAGCGCAGATATAGTGCCAGGACCAAAATCATCCATGGGTGTTTTTCTTGATTTTTCTCGGTATCACACAGCGAATCTATCCCTATCCACGGATGATCCCCTGGCAGTACTCTTTGCTTGTTTCTGAGCCGTTTTTAATGGGTGGGGTCGTCGATTGTCAGGAGCTCTGCGCAGGGAGATTGGCTCGCAAACGACAACACAGCACAATCATAGTGGTTCCCTGTACAAGGCGCAGGGAGCCACTACTGCTGTAGCCAGCCATTGCAGCGGCCAAAAAATATCCAAGAGGAGGGGGGGACTATCATGTTTTTGCATGCATTCGCGGTTAAACCATTGACCGCACGTCCTCGAGAGGACCGAGCATTGTTTCCATAGGACCAATCACCGATGGCCCATCGTTCCTTCCTAATACTTGCCAAAGGTGGCTAAGAAATGCCTTCCCTAGTCCATCTATACAAGAAGGGGGATGATTCTACGAGGGAGATAGAACGCCGGTTGTGATGCTAGCTCCACAAGTGGTGGTGGTATGCGGGATAAAGTAGAAACGGAAAGCAACATGAGGTCCCCTGGTGTTGGTCGTATCGCTTGAAAGGACACAAGAAAATAACGGGCTGGGGGGGGGGGGGCCC